GGGAAAGAGGAGAGGGATTGTTTTATAAATGATATAAATGTCTAAGCAATGAACTGTATACTTGAAACTAATAATAAAATTAAATTTAAAAAAGCCTTAAACAAACAAACAAACAAACAAAAAATCAAAGGAGAGACCCTTGTAGCCAACGAGATCTCAGCAAAGTGGGAATAGAAGTAACATATCTCAAATAATAAAGGCCACCTATAATAAATGTAGAGCTAATATACTCAATGGAGAAAGACTAAAAGCATTTTCCTTACAGGAATAAGATAAAGATGCCCACTTTCACCACTCCTCTTCAACATTGAATTGAAAGTCCTAGCTATGACAATCAGACAAGGAAGGGGAAATAAAAGATATCCAAATTGGAAAGGAAAAAGTAAACTGTCATTATCTGCAGATGACATGATAATATATATAGAGAACCCTAAAGATTCCACCAAAAAAAAGACAAAAACAAAAACCTGTTAGAACTAATTAATGAATTCAGTAAAGTAGCAGGATGCAAAATTAATATTCAGAAGTAAATGGCATTTTTATACACCAATGATGAACTTTCAGAAAGAGAAATTAAGAACACTATCCCATTTACAATTGCATCAAAAACAATAAAATATCTAGTAACCAAATTAAGCAAAACACAAAGCTGTACTAATAAGACTGGGAGACTTAAGAGCTTTGCTTAGTACATAGAGACAGACACAGAAAAGCAGCCAAATTGGGAAGACAAAAAAGCAGAAACCAAAAGAATAAAATGGCCATACTACCCAAAGCAATCTATAGATTCAATGCAATCCATATCAAAATACCAATGGCATTTTTCAGAGAACTTGAACAAATAATCCAAAAATTTATATGGAATTATAAAAGGTCCTGAATAGCCACAGCAATCTTGAGAATGAAGAACAAAGTTGGAGGTATCACATTACCTGATATCAAACTATACTACAAGTCTGCAGTAATCACAGGAGCATGAAACTAGCATAAAAACAGATACACTGATCAAAGGAATTGAATAGAGAACCCAGAAATAAATCCATGTCTATATACTCATTTAATATATGACAGTGGAGGTAAGAATATACAATGGGGGCAAAGATGGTGTCTTCAATAAATCATGCTGGGAAAACTGGGCAGATAATTGCAAAAAAAAGAAAAAGAAAAGAAAGAAACTGGACCACCTTCATCCACCATATACAAGGATAGACTCAAAATGGATTAAAGACTTAAATATAAGACCTGAAACCATAAAACTTCTAGAAGAAAAGATAGGCAGTAAACTCTCTGATACTGCTACCAGTAATTTCTTTTTGAATATGTCTCCTCGGGTAAGGGAAACAAAAGAAAAAATAAACAAATGAAACTACATCAAACTAAAAAGGTTTTACATAGCAAAAGAAACTGTCAATAAAATGAAAAGACAACTTACTGAATGGGCGAAGATATTTGCCTGTGATACCTCAGATAAGGGGTTAATATCCAAAAATATATAAAGAACTCATACAACTCAACAACAAAAAACAAACAATCCAATTAAAAAATGGGCAGAAGACCTGAACAGATATTTCTCCAAAGAGGAAATACAGATGGCCAACAGTCATATGAAAAGATGCTCAGAGAAATGCAAATTAAAACCAAAATGAGATCTCACCTGATACCCATCGGAATGGCTATCATTAATAAGTCAAAAACCAGCAAGTACTGGCGAGATTGTGGAGAAAAGGGAACCTTCATACACTGTTGGGATTGTAAATTGGTACAGCCTCTATGGAAAACAGTCTGGAGGTTTTTCAAAAAATGAAACATGGATATACCTTTTGACCCAGCAATTGCACTTCTGGGCATTTATCCAAAGAAAACCAAAACAATAATTCGTAAAGATCTATGCACCCCTATGTTCATGGCTCAATTTACAATAACCAAGATATGGAAGCAACCTAAATGCCATCGACAGACAATTGGATAAAGAAGTTATGGTTCATATATACAATGGAATATTACTTAGCCATTAAAAAATGAAATCCTACAATTTGCGATGACATGGATGAACCTAGAGGTTATTATGCTGAGTGAAATAAGTCAGGCAGAGAAAGATAAATACCATATGATTTCACTTATATGTGGAATCTAAGGAACAAAAAGAACAAATAAATCAAAAACAGACTCACAAATACAGAGGACAATATGGTGACTGCCAAAAGGAAGAGGGGTGAAGGGAGAAAGGGGTGAAAGGCTAAAGAAGTACAAATTAGTAGTTGAGAGATGGTCACGGGGATAGGGACCATGGCATAGAGAATGCAGTCAGCATTAATGTAATGACTATGTGTAGAGCCAGATGAGTAATAGAGTAATCGGGGGGATCATTTCATAAACTATATAAATGTCCAACCAACATACTGTATACTTGAAACTAATAATGAAATTTAAAAAGCAAACAAGAGAAAAAAAGATAAAAAAATGGAATGATAATTATATCAGCAAAAGACTTTTAAAAGAAACGCAGAAACCAGGAGATAGAAAAATAATGTTTTTAAAGAGTTTAATAGTTTACCAGGTTAAACTATAATTAAAGGTAGAGGGCAAAGTAATTTCAGATAAGTTTACCAGTGACATACACTTGAAATAACTTCTAAAGAACCTACTTCGGGAAGAAAGAAAATGGAAGAGAGAATATGAGGCAAACACATTGATATACAATTATTTAAATCTAAAACCATTTTCTCGATATGACAATAATGAAAGCAATAATTAATTTTGGAGATAAAAGTGCTAGACAAGATGCTGGACAAAAATAATATGTATGGCAGAAAGGGTGATTGAATTATAACAATCAAATGATTTTGTATTCTGGAGGAGAATAGAAATATTCATTTAATACTAGACTCGTTAAGTATGTAAGTTAAAAAAATAGAAAGAAAATGTGTATTTTCAAATCAGTAGAGGGAAAAAGTAAATAGAAGATATAAAAGACACAGAAAAAGAGTGATTAGAAAGGATAAATTAAGATGGTTGAAATAAATTCAAATATATGAGTATCGCAATAAATGTAAGTAGGTTAATGTTGAAAATCTACCCACAAACAACAACAAAATGCCAAACAAAAAATACACATGGTCTAAATAGTTTTACAAGAAAATTCTATAAAACCTTTAAGTAATAGATAATTTCAATTGGATATGAAGTATCCTAGTGGATGTAAAATGGGGAAATATTTCTCAACTCATTTTATAAGGCTCGTATAATCTTGATAACACATCTAGATAGGGTCAGTGGCAGAGAGGAAAATTTTAAGCCAATCTCACTTTATGCATGTGAATTTAAAATCCTAAATAGAGTGCTAACAAATCAAATCAAACAAAAAATACAGTATGACAACTTGGGTTAATTCTAGGAATAAAAGGATGGTGTAACATTAGAAAATGTTGATATATTTAACCACATTAAAGGAGTAAAGGAGAAAATTTTTAATTGATTCAGAAAAAGTATTTGATAAATTAAATGACCATTTATGATAAAAGTTCTTTGCAAAAGGAATAGGAATGGGAGGAAATTTCTTCCCTATCGTCCCTCTCTACCAAAAATTAAATATTCTTTTTAGTGGTAAAAATGTTATTAGTTCTCCCTCTAAAGTCAGGGAAAAAAATACAAGGATGCCTGTTATCTATCACAATCTCTAGGATGCTAACTCTGAATTTTAATGAATGTACATTCCATACCTCTAAGTGTAGCACTTAAATGTCTTCTGATCAATTCATATGTGTACGATTGTCTCTCTACTTTCAAGTAAGCTCCTTGAAGGAACCCACGCATCATACTACTTTTGCATTTTCTGTAGGCTTTTAGCACTATATTCAGCATGTATTAGGTGTGTAATAAACACCTTTAATTGAATGACATCAAGAAATATCCCCTGAAGTGCTTTTAAAAGTAACTTTCCTTTTTTTCTGATAAGAAGTAATACAGCTCCATTATAGGGAATTTGAATAATTCAGAAAGTATAAAGAAGAAATTGAAAATAAACCTAATCTCACTTGCCAGAGATAATCACTATTGACATTTTGGTGCATTTTTCTTCTTTTGTGCACATTTTAATATAGTAGAGCTCATACTCTTTAGTGTAACTTTGTATCTTACTATTTTCTTTTTATAGAAGTATTTCTTCATGACCATAGTTTTAATGGTTACATGATATTAAATATCACAATTTACACAGACATCTCTTTATTGTTGGATTATTGTCATTTCTGTAAATGACATTTTTGTGCATATATATTTTTCTGTATTTTAGATTCTTTTTTTTTTTTTTTTTTTTTTAGGATAGGCTATAACAGTGTTGGAGGTAATTTGTTTCCACCAAACAGTATTGTAACCCTCAAAATATAGTGAGCTTTTTTGATTAGGTCTCACTGTCCTTCTCTTCTCCCTCCAACCTCTGGTTTAATGACAGTGAAAAAGTAGGCGAAACAGGGGAAAAGAAAATAAATACATAAAAAGTGGACTAATTTAGGCGGAAATCAGAGCCAAGGATGTTGTTAGGTAAATTTTTCCTCTAATTGTGACCATCTCTATGATCTCCCCTTTCCCATTTCTCTTTCTCCCTCTCCTGTCTTTCTCCAGCAATCTCTCATTTCTTCTCTAAAAAAACCACCTGAGAAAAAGAAATTCTTACCATAATATTTCCAAGTTCTTATATTTTTTCTCCATATAAGTTTGTTCAGGTTGCTTCTTATTTTCAGTTACTCCATTAACATTTATGTTAGAAACAGACTGGGAGCCCTTCTGGCTCAGGGGTGCTTGTCTCATAGTAGATTCATTAAGGTAGTTCAAGTCCATATTGGATAGAGCATTGATGTGTAGCTGCTGGTATGAAAATCTTTTCTCTTCGTGGTCTCCGTGTCCTCTTCCTTTATTAAAATTCATCACTGAGTGATATCCAGTAGAGTTTTTATATAATACCTTGTCAAAAGCCTGTGGTGGTAGAGCATATTTATTGGAGGTTACTTTGGGATCCTGGCTCCTAAGTGCACTTGAGCGTTGCAAATCATTGTTGGGGGCATTCATAATCACAATTGTTTCATGTTTTATTGAAGTATCAAAAGGCTTATTTTGGTTTTGTTGCTGTCTAGGAGTGTTATTCTGGTTTCCTTGACTGACAACCAGCTCTTCAGTCACCAAAGACTTCAAGCCATTATTGTGTTTCTGCTGCTTTTGAATCTTGTACTTGGCTGGTCTTCTGGCAGGTCGTTGGCCATTGGCTGTTTCAGAAGATGGACCTCTTGGTACATTATGTGATTTCGTACTTTCATATCGAGACGAGTGTTCCTGTTAATTCCAACAAGATACTTTTGGTTATGTAAAGCTAAAAGATTGGCACTCTTCACAAATTTTAAATTAGTATTTTTCAAGTTGGGAGTTGAGACTTCTAGGAAGGTGATCATGGAATTGAAAGGAGATTAAGAGTTCAAAGTGTCCTTTCCTAATTTCAGGCAATGAGAAAGTGATTAGCTGGTGATACCTCTTGGCAATTTCAGATTATGAATTTTCTAGAAAGAAATAGAATTTAGAATGGGCTTTATATTAAAGGCAAGTCTTTGACTTAAAATGTTATAAAATGAAGTGTTACCAAGGTTGGGGGAGGGGGAGTAGATTTACCACTAAAGAGCTATGTACAAAGAGTGCAAATGTATATCAAAATATCAAAGTTTATTTTAACTAAGATCGCTATTTAAAAAATCTTAACCAAAAAGAACATCAATGATTTGCTTTACCAACCAAGTTCAAGTTTAGTATGAAATACAATTCAGATTACCAGATCTTCTTACTCATATAGTTCAGAAGTTAGAAATGACCTTTTCATCAGATGAACTAAATTAGATTTTATTCAGAGGATTATAAAAGTCTGTACTGTGATACAGACGGCATCTGTGAAATCACAAGAGTTGTTTGGATTCTCTTCCTTAATATAGCCTATACTTAGGCAATCAAACATCTGGGGGAAATATTTCAATTTCACAAGTCTTCATGCCTTTCAAAGTCTTGTAACAATAAAATGTACTCCCGATATAATAGATACACTATGTAACTATATTGTGCTAAACCATTAGGAATTATTTCCAAAGAATAAAGCACTCATTACTTTGTGAAAAACTAGCTGAGTTAAGAGACCTTTGGAAAGAATGATTAAATACTTGCTGAAAACAGTAAGATGACCATATGCATTAGCATGTTGTATAACTGTAACATTTCTTCCTTTCTTAACACGCATTAAAAAAAAAATCTCTATGGTCTGTATCCATGCAATGTTAATCGAAAAATGCAAGTTACCTGGCTCATTTGAGAAAAAACCTTGAAGTGAATAAATCATGTTTTTGCTTAAGCTGTTTGTTTTAGCTTGCTGTGAAGAATGATCAAAGTATTACAATGAGTTCAACTTTTATTTCACTTTTTTTATATAATCACTAACTCATCCTATTCCTGTAAATATTTTATTTTGAATGAAATTTCATTGTAATGATAAAGTCGAGACTGCTTAAAACAGTAATATGTGATATTACTTCTTATGCCAGATTTTAAAGTAAGAATGACTTATAATTTGAAATTTATTTTAGATTCATTTAGAGTATTCTCCTTAGAGTATTCTCCTTAGAATTTGAACTTTCTAAAGGATTGTCTAGGTCTGATTAGCACCTCTAGATTCTAAGTTTTACCTGTGTTACTCCAAAAAAGAAAACTTCCTTTCCTGTATTTCAATCAAGAAAGGTTCTTCCTTCCATGCAGTATATTGAGCTGCATGGGAAATGTGGGCGAGATAGTTCTGCAACTAAATAGCCCAAGAGCATTCTTCCTTGTAGTAGACCCAGAAGAAATGATTATTTTACAATCTTATCAATGTATTCATGAAATGTAGGGGCTCCTTTCGAAGGGCAAAAAAAGACTGCCTTTGCTGTTGATGTGGATAATGTCGTTCTTTCCAATATTTGTTCAGCATTTTAATTGCTAGAAAAATAAGTGACCAGAAACTCTTTTTCTGCTGCCGTCTGACAGTTCATTCTTCTCATTCCAACCAAAAAAGAAAAAAAAAATATCAGGAATTTTTTTCTAGGGCACCAGACCCCAAATCTTGGGTTATCACTTGGTTTTAATCACGTTATTTAGTCCTTTGCTGCTAACAATTCAGATTATAATAGTACTCTTCAGAGGGTGCTTTGTCAACAAGGCCAAGTACTCATCATTTTATGAAGCTTCAATTGTCTCTAGTGTTAAATCCTCTATTCACGTAAATGTAAGTGCCCAGAGATGGCATTTTGGTACCCAGAAAGGAAGACATTTCCGGGCTTGATGTGATTTCTCTCACCTTCCCAGCAGCCTACTTGAGATCTGTGGTTTACTGAAGATTTATTACCCTACAATTGAGGCATCAGGTGTCACTCTTTAGGTGGCAAGACCTGAGTTCCCTGAAGTTAATATACAAAGCCATTCTCAGGCTATTTAATCTCCATCAGCACTGAAATCCTCTATTTCATCCTGCTCTCACTAGGGTTCTTTTGTTATCAACACGAACAATTAGCCCATACTACATGCACTCAGAATAACTGCTTAATGGCAGTAGGTTTTCCTGGCACACACAGAGCAGGGTCCTTTGGCTGGAATGTTAGCATCGGAGAATCCTGATGACTAGTGCTGGGATGATAATTTCTTAGTAAGGCCCATGCTCAGTTATTAACATTTGTTCATACTGTGCCATCCGAGGGAAGTTTGCCGCCAAACCTGTGAAAGGCAGCTTTCTTGTTTATATGGCATAAGCAGAGGGGAGAATGTGCACTCTGATTTCAACCAAGAAGTTCATCCGCTTTAAAACAAAAGCCATTTTTGCTCTTAAGGTGAGCACACATATAGCTTTCTACTTCTTTGGCAGTTACCCTGATCAAGCCTGGAGTCCTGAGGGTTGTGTCTGGGCTCCAGGATTAGCTCTGACATACAGAAGTTTCTGCTGTGTTTATTAACAATAAAGCATGAATACTTTGAGCTTGGATTACAAATTTCATCTGATAATATTAAGAAAATTTACAACATACATATCAACTGGCTCTAATTTTTAGCATTAGTAAGGAAGGACTCTGTACAGATGAAAAAAAGAAGCATAGCTATATTGATAGTCTGGAAGCAAAACCAAAATAACGGCTCTTTGGAAGGGTGGGAAGATTACTTAGGATGTGATTACAAGGACTTTCAGATTATTTAGTCAAAGATTCTACACATTTTTACACCTTCATTCCTTTTCCTTTCCTAGAAAGTCAAGAGTAATTTAAGTGGCAAGAAAGGAAACATTCTATTTTATCCTTTTAAAGCTTTACTTAATTGGGGAACTTGCTGTTTCTTTTATTGACAACATGCTCCTTGCATGGAAAGGATCTTCTGCTAGTGGGAGTGTGCTCCCTTGCAGTGGCCAGCAAGGGTCAGACATTTAGCCAAGTATTGTGTCCAGTTCTGGGTACACAACGGAAGTGGGATTTGTAAAACCCGTGAAGATTCCCAGGGGAGCACAAAATGATTCAGGACAAGACTTATGTGGAAAGCTAAACAGAAGAGGGATTACTTGGCTTGAATAAACATCTTAAGCATGTATAAGACACTTACATAGAAAATGATGATGGTGACCATCAATTTCCAGTATTTTAAAAATAAAAATACATAGGCTTAAATTGTCTCAGGGACCTTGTTTCTGGCATACTTTCTTTCTTTCCTAGCCCTATCTCTAGTATCTCATTCTTTCCAGCATATAAATGTGTTTAAGTCTCTTCTATTACAAAAATAATAGACTTCCTCACTTGATCTCGTTCTCTGAATCCACAGCCACGCATCTTGAAAATGTAGGCTGTACCGGTCTTCATTTCTTCATCTCTTATTCTGAACTCTACATCCGCAGCAGAGCATTTATTCAAACCATCCCACTGAAACTGCTCTGCTTGGACCACCAATAACCTCTTAGTTGCTAAATCCCATGAGTACCTTTTTCTTTAACTTTTTATTTTTTAAAACTTACAAAATTATTTAAATTTACAGAAAAACTGTAAGAATAGCACAGAGGGCTCCCAAATATCCTTACAGAGATCCACCAGTTTTTAACATTTTGCCACATTTCACCATTCCCTTTCTTTGTCTCTCTCTATATAGATATACAAATTTACATATATATCATTATGTTGTTATTGTTTGTGTTATTGCTATTTAGTTTCTTCTAAATAATTTGCAACTTGCATGTATGAGTTGCATATATCATTCTCTTTTCATGACACCTTTTTACTTGTCTTCTCTGCAGAGTTTGATCTTGCCCACTGATTTCTCTTTCTTTAAAGTTTCCTGTCTCCAGTTCCATGAGACTATTCCATCCTGGTCGATTTTCTACCTCTCTGGCAACGCTTTTGTAGTCTCTCACCTTCTGCTCTCTTCCTTTGCCTCTGCTCACCCTTAAATTTTGCCATTCTCTACAGGGCCCTGTCCCCTCTTCTCCCACTGCCTACAATTCTTGGAGCATCTCAGCAATTCTGACAGTTTCAATCCACTAGTGAATTCTAATGATGCCAATGTATGTACTAACTCAGACATTTCTCCTGTATTCTGTGCTCAGATCAGTTCTGTGTTCATCTCCTCCCTACAGGCCACATCAGACTTAACATTAGGTCTACCCCTGTCCTCATGCCCTTCCCACTTTCAGCCCAGTACCAGAGCCCTCCTTTTTTACCCGAGTGGTACTGGTACCACTAATCAGACACTTAGAAACTTAGAGTTTACTTTCAGGTCTGGCCTTCAGCCTAGGCTCGGATAAACTCTAAATCCCCTTTTTTATTTCTCAATGTTTGGAATTTCTTCTGTTGACATCTATTTGGTCCTGTATGCAGGATTCCAAAGAAAACCAACCAGGATCATTTTGTGGACTCAGGCCTGGTGCTAGATACTAGTGAGGGCCCTTTATGCCCTTCTGGTTCCCCACTTCACATTGGGCAAACTTGGCTGAGTTCTCTTCTGGAATCCTGGACCTTCTGCTTTTGGTTGTAGGTACTGACTTTATTTGAGCTGTTCTAAGACAATCCTCGAGGTGGCACTAAAAGATAAGGGTTGGCTGAATTCAAATTAACCCAGGTAAAAGATGAAGGGGTGTCTGTTTTTATGTTTCCGGTCTTTCAATTGAGATTGCTCTCTGAGAGTCTCAACAAAAAAATCTTTGCTAGTTAAATGAAAGACTGAACTCATTCAGCACCAAAGAAAAGGGACACCTACTCCCACCAGCCCAAATTTTGAGAGTTCTTAGGTGACTAAAGAATCACTGTGGGGGTGCCTGGGAAATCTCAAGGCAGGAAGCGGTTCTATAGATAATTCCAATACACCGTAATTAATTGACTTGTTTGGGAACATGTACATGAGGACTGGTCATCCAGTGCTCTGAGTCCTCATGGTTATATTAGACAGCCAGAGAGAGAGAGAGAGACCAAGGCACATAAGAGGGTTCAAGCTACTTAGGAGGTAAAAACCCCGAGGAATTCAATCCACAAGCAGCACACTGCAACCCACAACATATCTCTAGAAGCTTGTTCAGATTCTATAGATCTCAAAAGGAAACTAAAACCTATTACTACTCCTGGAGATTTTTGTACAATTCATATAGAGCTTTCACTTGTAAGTATTTACAGAAATGGTAAGATTTAACTAAAAATGATCTTAGCTTAAGATGGTCAAAATGGGGACCTTTTGATATATGCAAATTGATTTTTATGCACAATTGGAAAAAGCCAGCTCTAAATTACACAAAATGAATGGGAAGCTTACTTTGACTGGAAATTAGAAGCCTCAAGAGGACGGACAGATAAACTCTCTTCCCTTCAGGAAGTTAATAAGAAAATTTTAGAGACTGTCTCTGAATTAAAAAGGGCTTCCAAAGCGACTCACTGCCAACACACTCCTCCCACTTCTCCAACTACTCCACTATATCCTTTACTCTCAGAGCTTCCCTGTGTGGAATTCCCTTCCCTTCCTCCACCCACTCCTGTTTCCTCTCTTCTTTCTCTGCTACCTCCACCTCCACCAACTGCAAAAAAAATTAAAAATAGCCAAACCAACTAGAAAGACTAGAAATTCTGGTGGCTCCCTTTACAGAAAAGCCAGTCTCAGGAAGGGGAGAACCAGCAATAATTTATATTTTTTTTGATTAGAACAGAATTAAGGACTTTAAAGATTTTCTTGATTCCCTCCAAGCCCCCATCGGATTTGCTAAGGAATTTGATTTAACTCTCAGAACACATGATTCTGGTTTTTCAGATCTGTTTTAACTGATATACCTATTGGTTTCTTAGAGTAAGGCAACAGAATAGTTAAATAAAGCTTGCTAGTAAAAACCTATAGAAGATTTTTTTAAGGCAAAGAGAAACAGACCTGGATAAATACAGGGAATTAGGTTATCAGTTTGACCAAAGCCATTCCTGAGATTTTTCCTCTCAAAATAGACTGGACTAAAATATAGCAATGTAGGTGAAGACCTTGATTTCTTTGAATGCTTTAAGAAAACTTTCAAACAACATTCAGGACTATCTCTAGACAATTTTAATAATCGCCAAAAGTTGCCATTTTTGGAGAGATTAGATGAAGAGCTTATAATTCTGATTAAATAGCATCATAAATTAAACTGGCCTACAATGCATACC